AAGTATTTCATCAAGCAAAGTACAATTACAAAAACAAGGCCAGTGTGCCCCAAAATAAGTAATTATGGTCTTAGTTTGTATATGTCAAATAAACCACAAAATGGTGACTTGTGCTCAGGAATATTTTGAAAAATTATAGTCTACAAATGTCTGGGGTAATAAATTTAAGTATTGATTAAAATGTTAAGTACTTAACATTTTATGCTGCTACTCTGTTTACATATATGAGCCATACGACAGAGCCTGGAAAAAAACAGTTGCTGATTTTTATTATGATTTGGAAGCTTAGAAACTAGGTTCAGGTCACCCCTACAATCTTAAATGACTAATGCTGTATCTGTAAGAGGCTCATAAACATGGAATTTCTCTCTAGATGCTGAGAGATGAGCTATTTTCAAGATATACTGAGTATCCTCAGAAATTGAAACATTAGAAGCTCTCTTAAAGTGAAGCAATCAGAAGCCAGTAAAAACAGAGAGTCAAAAAGTTAATACAATATATTTAAAACATCTTATTTCAATTAGTCTCATAAGTAAGCATAAATTCATTTATTGATCTTCGGATATTGGGGCTGTGTTTGAACTGGAGTTCCATGTTGCCTTTCTTGGTTAAACTACACCCAGATTTCCTGCTTCCATTTCTTAAAAATGGAGCAGGACCTTAACAGAGCTTGTAAAACAAACACACAAACCTGAGTGCAAAATGTTTCTAGGTATTGTTACTGTACTTTTCCAATCTCTTATAGCTGTGTATACCACACCCAAGTAGCAGTAGTTTGTTCATTCAAGTTGCCTTTTTAAAAGACATACAGTTCTTTCTTTAAAATTGAGATAAAATTTGCATAACATAAATTTCACTATTTTAATCATTTTAAAGTGTACAATTTAGTGGTTTTTACAATGTTGTGTAACCATCACCATTATCTAATTGCAGAGCACAGCCATCACCCCCAAAAGAAACCTCATATCCACTATCACTCACTCTCAATTCCCACTACCCCTATTCCCTGACAAACACTAAGCCACTTTTTGTCTCTATAGATTTGCCTATTCTAGATATTTCATGGAAATGGAATCATACAATACTTCATCTTTTGTATCTGGCTTCCATCACTTAAGATAATGTTTTCAAGGTTCATCCACGTTGCAGCATGTGTTAATAATTGTTTTTTAACATGGCTTACTTTTATGGGCCCATATGGCAATCAACTTAGTTTTCCTAGAAATAGCATCTTGATATGGCGGTCACATTGCATTAATTTATGCAATATTTAATTAAATTGCAAAATTACAGTATAAGTACAACTGGCATAAACAGGACTGTGACCAAACACCACCATAAATGTGCCCTTGAGCTGGCAAGAGCCAAGTATACCAATGTATTATGATGAGAGCTATTTGACACAGTGGTCTCTTTGGCTGAGCAACAACCAGGATAAGTTTCAGAGGGGAAGGAGAACACTGGTTAATCCAATGAGTTGTTTTCAGGTTGGCCAGGACTCCATTGCCCTGGACAGAGAGGAATGCACACAGAAGGGTACAGAGGTGACAAGTAGCTATTATACAACCTGACACAACCTCAACTGGTCTCCAAAAGGAAGTCTTCTATATGTCTTCAAAAAGAAGCAAGGATGTGCTCTCATAAAAACAGCTCTATCCTTCTGCCTCTATAAAAAGCTTTACCACGCTACTCATCATTCAAGAGCAGCTCAAACATGTCCTCCTCTACAAAGTCTTCCCTAACCCTCAGCTCTTCACAGTGCCTCTCCTTTTTAATTTCCAAAGTGCTTATCTATTTCTTATGGTAGTTATAACTGGTATGATAGCTAGTCACACGATGTCCTCTCTTCCCCACAAGACTATAAGCTATTTCAGAGGCAGGTTCTGTGCCTTTATATCCACTCCTGCCACGAGCACCACAAAAAAGGTGCTCAAAGCAAATCTTTAGGCAAATCCTTACACAAATCTTTAATAAGGACAAGTTCTATAAATATGGACTCAATTAAGAAATGAATGAGCACATTAATTAAATAATTAGTGGCATGCAAAGTCCTACCTGGCTACAACCACTCACCCCGCTCATCAATGGGAACGAAGGAGTGTTGAGTATCTGGAGTATCTGATGGAAGGGCAAATGAAGAAAAAAAATCAAATACTACTCTGAGTGCCTGGCAGACATCAGAAATTGTGACTTCATCCTCTAAGTGTTTAACAGACCCAACCTTCAAATAGGACATTGTTAGATAAGGACACTTCCTGATGTCCCTTGATGTAGAGCAAATTAAAAACAGAGACAGAGAAAAAAATCTTTCTGCTCAAAAATTTTCCAACGTCTTCAACTGTGGATTCAGTTTTTCTCAAATTATTAGACCACTTCAATAGGTGTGTTTTTAGATATACTAGAGAGGCACTCATAAGAAAATGGCTTCCACATTGGCAATTTTTAAAAGCAAAGCAATTGGTTAGGTGGGGAATGCATAAACAACCCCAAAAGCTGCACTGAATACTTTATTTTTTTTTGGCAGTATGCGACTGAAAAACTGCCAAGTTCGTTTTGATAAGCCTTTGTTAAAAACAATAAACATGCCTGAGCTTGCAAACTGTGTCATTTTGAAGAAAAAGGAATTGAGAGAATTAGAAAATGCTCAAAACTGGAATGTCTGATTAAAAAGAAAAACTACTGTGGTAACGGATTTACCAATAAGTCACAACACTGTAGCCTATGAATATGGAAGAGGAAAGAGGGGGACAAGATGTAAAGTGAGACAAAATAAAAACAGAACAAAACACCATCTTCATAAATAAGTTAAATGCTACATCTTATAAACTAAGGCAATTACAGTCTCCAATACTAACATGGTAGCATTAATACTTTTAAGAAAACGAATCTTCCTGTGCTCACTTAGTCACCACAGTGATGGTCCTGCAATAAAGGAAATGTAATTTCACGGACTCCAAATGAACATACATTAAATAAGCAAATGTGGGAACTGCTATTCACATACAGGAAAATGTCAGTTCGTAAATGTCAAAGTAACTTCATCTGGGTTTGTTGCTTGTTTTCCATGATTATATTAGTAAGATAGGCAGAATCATGGGATTGGAAGGAAGACAATTTGGAACATTTATATTCATTTCTCTGCTTTAGGCAAAACTGAAACTCTCTTCTATCTGCCTAATAAAATCCTGGAAAAATTCTAATAAGTAAATTGTAACTTGAGCTTCATAAGATCAAAGTCCTTTGTTTTGTTTATTGACACACCCCCAAATGCCCAGAACAGCACTGGACACATAGTAGGCACTCAATAAATATCTGGAAAAAATGAACTAAAATTGAAAAATATGCAGTGCAATGCAATGCTAAATAAGTCACTTTGAAATTCCTTTCTTAGCTCTGTTATAGGTCATAGTGTTAATCACAACAAAAAATGGTCTCCATGAAGCCACTTTACTCATGCTGGCTTCAACACCATAAAACATGCTTTAGCTCAGACCAATTATTAGCATAGAAAGCTGAGACTCAGGAGAGATTACAAAGAGAGATGAAGGTTGACTTATTCCCATCTATTTTGTTGTTTTTTTTTTTTACCATTTTTTTTTAATTTCAGCATATTATGGAGGTACAAATGTTAAGGTTACGTATATTGCCCATTACTTTTCTGCGGGTTCACCTGGAATGTATCTACATATTCATCTTCTTATAAGAAGAATTCAAAATATTACGTAAAATTAAGGGTTTGCATTTTTTAAAATTGTGCTACTAAAGCAATTTAAGTAAATCAACTTCTCTCATCTATTTCAGAATCCCACCTGTTAAACAAAAAAGATAACTAAAACATAAGAACAGCAAACTGAACCGATTAGGTAATTCTAGTCATACTATTTTTGTCCAAAATGCCTGGAGGGAGGCAATATGCCTTGAAAAGTGAACTAGGTGGGAATGATGAGGCCTGGGCTGCAAGAAGGGTTTGAAATTAGTAGATGATCTCTAAAACCCTTTCAGTTTCTAAGATCCTGTGGTTGTAAGTGATCAAATCCAATCAGTTACTACTATTCCTTTCCATCCTTCATTTCTTCAACAGACCTATGAACACCTTGTGGGGTGTGGGGGGTCCAACGCATTAGCCCTAGTTTCGCATGATGTGTATGGGTGGAGTGGGAACAAACTATGCAGGGAGCTGATGATTTGAAAAGCTAGTGAGTTAGGATACCTGTGGCCATAGGTGTGTCTGGGTTTGGCAGGCCAGAAGATTCTCCCCCTGGATTAAACAGGCTGCGCGGCTGGAGTGCCCAGCTCCCAGCAACGAAACAGGTAGGATGAACTAATTAGTTCAAAATGGAAGTGCTTAACCCATGTCCTAGCAGGACCTATCTGATTCAACATTAAAAAGAAAAAAATATATATATAAGAGGTTTAGAATGCCGAGTTGTAAAAAACGAAGACTACCAAATCACCCCAGGACTAAACTGTGTGCTTTAAAATTTTGATGCGAACACTCTTCTCAGTCTGCACTACAGGTATCATTGCTTTTCTTTGTAGACAACAAGCAAGTGAGAAATTAAGTCCAATCTCTTTAAGATTTTGAAAACTGGTGTGCTTTAATATACCACACAGGACAAATAAATATTATTGTCTAAGGCAGGGGGTGGGGGTGGGGTGCTGAAAACAGAAAATATCCTGAAAACGGGAAAGAGAACAGAAAGGCGATCCCTGCTGCCCTGGGAAGCCTGCATTTGGAAACCACAGGAGCTGGAGATCAAAGCTGCCCCCTCTCCAGCCACCTGCCCAGACACTCGGCGGAGCGCTGGCTCCACACGGACAGGGCAAAGGGGCACGTGTGTCCCTTCCAACCCAGCAGGCGCGCCAAAGGATCCAGGTTAGGGACGCAGACTCAGGGCGCGGGCTGGGCGCTGGGGCAGCCGAAAGAGAACGGAGCCCATTCGAACCCAGCCCTAGCGCTCCGCTCCCCGCCGCCCTGCCCCGAGGGATGCCCGTGTCACCTGAGCCACTGCGCGCGGGCACAACCGAGTCGGGAGGTGGGAAGAGGGCGAGCTGAGGGAGCTTCCCCGCCTGAGCGCTGGGGATCGGGGCGCCGGAGCCGTCGGCGACACTGCGCCCAGGACCGCCCGCGGGGCCAGGCTCCAGCGCTGCGCAGCCGGCTCAAAGGGGGCGGACGACCCCACGCCCCGCCCGCCCCCCTACCACGCCCCCCTCCAGCCCCGCCGCGTCCTCACCTCGCGGGGACCGCCGCAGCCCTGCAGGTAGCTCGCGGACATGCCCCAGGGCGCGCCCACCGAGCCGTGTCCCAGCGCGGTGGCCCCTTCCCGGGCCCCAGTCGCCGCGGTCCTCGCGTCCGAGGGGCGGGGAGCAGACCGGGCGGAGGCGCTGCAGGGCTGGGCCGGGGGCCCGCGGGCAGCGCCGGGGGAGGGAGGGCGCCTGGAGAGTCCCGGTGCTCGGCCCCCCGAAATGCACCGGCTCGCTCAGCCCGCCAGCTCCGCCAGGGACTCTCCCGGCGGGCGAAGGGGATTTATCGCCGGATCCGCTCTGAGGGCTGCGGCTTGGCGAGGGGTGAGGGGCGCGGGGGAGGAGGGACGCCTCGCGGTTATGTAAGGCCTCGGCCCTCGTGTCCCGGGCCAGACCGCTCGGGGACCGCCCGACCCTCCCGGGAACACCCGTGCGAGTCCCTGACCTAGGCAAGCCGAGGGGCCCCGGTGTAGCAAAAAGAACTTTTCCCTGCAGGGGGAAAGAGCACGATCTCGAGAGGGATAAAAGGACTTTTTAGGTGTACCTGGCGGGGATCTGGACCTGCCTGCCGCTCCTTCCCATTTCCCAGCACGGGAAACTCAAGCCGCAGGGTGCTAACTAATTAAAAGCTCTGTCTCTTGCGGTCATGTAGACCTGAGTTCAACTCCCCTGACGAGTTCATAACCTTGGACGATTTCCTTAACTCTCGGAACTCCAGTTTTGCCTGTGAAATGCAGGATAATAATAGCGCGCATGTCACGTTGATGCTGAGGAAATGAGTGAGGTGCGGGCGCCGAGAACGTCACCCAATTCCCCAAACGTTGACTTAGAGCCTGGAGAAGCGTCTGCCAGAGTCGCCCGGAGGTACCACACGTGAGACAGGTGCCAGGTCAACCTTTGTGCAAAGTACTCTGTCGTGAAGCGTGGCCTCTGAACTGACAAGGTGTCACTCCAACTTCTTGGAGTGGACATCCTTGCTACTCCACGAGTGGCGGCGACCAACAGCAACGTCGTCACTGGGGAGCTAGATAAAAACGCAGAATCTCAGGTCTAATCGCAGAGCCGCTAAGTTCCAATTTGCATTTTCAACAAGATTCTCTGGCGAATCGGATGTACGTGAACATTTCAAAATGAATTAGACTTTTTGGGAAATTTGAGTACGGGACAAGGAAGTTACTGAACAATACAATAGGCAATATTTGCCAAGCAGTACCTTAGGGTGTTTTTAGAATAGACTAGTAAAGTCCTTCCTCATTTTCCCCTTTGGTTGTTCTGTCTCTTCCCTTCATCTCAGTTTCCTGCCCTTTAACTATAAATCTGAATTTAAGTCCTATTTTCACTTGCAAAAAAAGTCTGGGTTAGACCTAAGTGATGATTAGTGAATATATGTTTAAAACACACAAAAGCAGGAACAAATAAACTTGTAAAAGAATTCATTAGCATTGAAAATGAACCCATAAATGCAGAGGCAGCAGCGAGCCCTGAACTCCCAGCTGTGAAGGTCTTTAGGTTAAAGGCTTGAATACCTTTACGTTCCAGTAAACTACTTCTCTTAGTTAAACATTGTTTTGGGTGGCAAAGAAGTCCCATTTTTCATTTAAATAATGTAGAACTGGAAGTCCTTTTAAAAAGTTTTGGCGAATAGAAAGAAACTTCACAGGCTTCCTTCCATGTAAGTCACACTGAGAGGGGCTCTAGCAAAGCCCAAAGCAAACATGTTGTTTATTCTAGTCAACGCTGCATCACTGTTATTTTATTCTAAGAGTGCTCAGATTTCATGTGACTGACTCTCTGCCAGAATGATTTTCATCCTTTAAGGGTCCCGTAATTGTGGGTTGATGATGGTGACGTTAAGTCTAATGTGGATAGGCAGTGCCTGGCATAGAAAGGTCCCTTCTGCCTGCCTACCCTCGGGGGTTGCACACTTGAGACTGTTGAGATAGCTGCTGTCGTGGGAGTGGGCCTCGTGGACGTGGAGGAGGGAGACAGACGTGGGTGAAGGAAAGGAATCTCCCTTCGCTGAGGTTGGTGGGTTGAGGGATCTGGGAGGGGGAGAAGAAAGCCCATCTGCTCTTGCTGTACAGCACAGGAGAAAAGCAAAGGTGGAAGCCTAGAATCCAGCCTGGGAGGAAAGGGAAGATGCAGCCAATAGAACTTTCTGCAGTGTCAGAAATGTGCTATATTTTCACAGTCCAACAGCTATGAAATGTAGCTATTTATACTTATATTTTAATTAATTAATTAAAATTCAGGGTTTTTGTGGGTGTTTTGCTTGCTTGCTTACTTGTTTTTTAATGCTAGCCTGTTGCACTATCCACATTTCAAGCACTCCATACCAACATGTGGCTAATAGCTACCCTACTACACAGCACGTAAGAAATTCCTTCATCACAGAAAGTTCTACTGGACAGTGGTGCTTAGAGGCCAGGATTTTGGTGAGTAGGCAAACCCAGAGATCCAGCTTTTCCAAGTCCCAGTCAGAACCTCATCTGTCCAAAGGCAAGTAATGGAATGATAATTAATCCTACATCATTGAGTCCTTGCGAGTCAAAATGAGATCATCTATAGAATGTATTTAATGCAATGCCTTCCCTATAGTAAACGTGCAAATAAATTAATCCATATTAGTATTAATAATCTTTTTACATTAAAAAAAATGGGAGGTTGACAAAGAACCATTTTTACTGGTGCCTAACTTGACCCAGGCTTCTGAACCTTCTCTTGGGCCCATCTGTATATTTCCTTGTAAAATCCTTTTAGCAAAGAGCCCTGCTAAGTCAGTTTGGCAGTAACCTCCCTCTCCCTCAATACCTGATCACTCTCAGGTCCCTTATCCTCTACCATCTTTCAGGTGATATCTAATCACCCTGACCTGTATTTAGCAAGAATCTTGTTAGGTTGGTTTAGCCAGAATCTCCCTTATTCTTAGTAATTTTCATCCTCTGACCTTGCCTCCTGTTCCTTGGCTATAAATTCATACTTTCCCCATGTTGTATTCAGAATGAAGCCCCATCCCACCCCCACTGCCAGTCTCCATTTGTAGTTGTCCCTGTACCTATCTCAACAGTCCTGAATAAAGTCTTCCTTATCATGGTTTAACAAGTGTCATTGAATACGTTTTTTCTTTAATAGGGGACTTGGCATTAGAGATGCATCATTATTGGTTAAATAATCTTTTGATGATGTGGTCAGCGGCTGTGCTACCTCAATACCCATTAATAGCTGTGCTCCAGCTCTCTCCCTTCCCTTCCTCCCCACTAGAGCTGAGTACTATGTGTACTCTGCTGGCCTAGAGGCACAGCATATTTGGTCAAATCCCTACCATTTGTAGCCAATAAATAACAAGTATGTTAACTAAAATCATATTGAGCCATGGTTCAGTGGAATTAATTTTCAGACGAGATTCTGAGAAGCATGACACCTTAGGGTACATCCATTATGAAAGGAATTGTTTGTTCCTGTTATATGGTCAAACAAGGATGTGTGGACTCAGCAGAGAGAAACGAGAACATTGGCTCCAGATGAGTAATATTTGGGGTATCTGCGTCAGAACAGAAGCTAGCCAGGTGCAGACCTCTAGTCCCAGCTACTTGGGAGAATGAGGCAGTAGACTCGCTTGAGCCCAGGAGTTCCAGGCTGCAATGTGCTTTGATCATGCCTGTCAGTAGCCACTGCACTCCAACCTGGGCAATATAGGGAGACCCTGTCTCTAAATATTAAAAGAAGAAGAAGAAGAAGAAGAAATGGAAGGAGAGGAGAGAGAGAAGAGAGAGGGGAGGAGAGAGAGAGGAGGAGGAGGAGAGAAGGAGAAGGAGAGGAGAAGGAGAAGGAGAAGGAGAAAGAGAGGAGAAGGAGAGGAGAAGGAGAAGGAGAAGGAGAAGGAGAGAGAAGAAGAAGGAAGAAGAAGAGAAGAAGAAGAAGAAGAGAAAGAAGAAGAAGAAGAAGAAGAAGAAGAAGAAACCAGAAGATTGGGGATTGGGGATGAAACCTTGAGGCTGTTGCATAAATAAAATTTGAAATTTTATTTCAAATTCTTCAACTCAAACGATGCGCCCACCTCGGCCCCCAGAGTGCTAGGATTACAGGTGTGAGCCACCACACTCAGCCAAAACATACATTTTTGAATAATTGTCTTCTCAAACTCCTGTTCAACTGATTTCTTTAATTAGATTATGTTCTGTGGGCATCTTTCGGATCCCACTTTCTTTCTTTTTTCCTTTTTTATTGAGACAGAGTCTCACTCTGTTGTCCAGGCTAGAGTGAGTGCTGTGGCGTCAGCCTAGCTCACAGCAACCTCAAACTCCTGGCCCAAGCAATCCTTCTGCCTCGCTCCTGAGTAGCTGGGACTACAGGCATGTGCCACCATGCCTGGCTAATTTTTTCTATATATTTTTAGTTGGCCAATTAATTTCTTTCTATTTTTTTTTTTAGTAGAGACAGGGTCTCACTCTTGCTCAGGCTGGTTTTGAACTCCTGACCTTGAGCGCTCCTCTCGCCTCAGCCTCCCAGTCCACTTTCGTTATCATCTTCCTTTTTCATCACTTCACCCTTTTCTTATGATCATTTTCTTGGAAGTCGGTCCCTATTTCTGTTCTCTGTCCCCTTTTCATGACTCTGGCTAACACCTGCTGCCAGAAGCAATGTCTTTCCAGTTCTGACCTCCCTGTGAATTCCAATTCTTGTCGCCAGTCGCCCAGTGGAGATTTTCATTTGCATTCTCTCTGCACCATCACTCCAAATTTTAATGTATCAGGAACTCAAGTTATCACTACAGTCTTGTTTTAGCTGTCCAAGCGCTCTCAAGTTTCTCTTCTTCAGCATCACTGCCTTGGTCTCTTGTGCTGAAATTCTCTCATTTACCATGACTTGAAGCTATGTAATCATTTAAATCCATTGACCTTC